AAAAACTTTCTCCCAAGATACGGGGGCCTCTTTACTATATTGGAGCACATAAAAGTGGTGACATATAGGCTAAAATTACTATCACCCCTACCTATTCATCTTGTTTTTCACATATCATTCAAGAAACATAAGGTGGACAACTAATCTACAACAAGATCTGCCCAAGAGGTTGTCACCTAAAACCATCACTATGTTTTCTAAAAAAGCTTTCAAGATACTCAATCATTTAGTCATTGATGGGGGAGGTCACAATAACCTCCATTATTGGATGGAGTTCCTAATCCAATGGGAAGGAGAATCTCAAGAAGAGGCAAGCTAACACCTAAAAGAAAAATATATGTTAGTTCAAGGTTCAATTGAAACATCACCTCACTTCCCTTTTAATGAGGATGTTTTGCTCTCTAAGGGGGAGAATGTCATAAGGGCAAAGCAAGATCATATGCAGGTGCTCTGCATGGACATGGCAAGATGCGCACAAATGGCATTGCACACATAGAAGAGGCAATGGGCATGGGCAACATGGTATATGTTGGTGGCATAAAATGTAGAGAGGAGGTAGGACAACATGCATAGTTGGCAATATGAGAACCCAAGCACTTGTCTAGGCATGAGACTAAACAATATGGGTGTGGGAGCAAGTGCACAGCCTCTCCCAGTGTAGACATAGGTGCATTAGTGGCCCAAAATAGATGATGCAACATACAAAGCAACTATAACAAGTGGCGAGATGTTTGAGACAATGTTCAATGGCTACATGGCAAGGGCAACAATCAACCACAAGGTATAACAATTAAGACATACCCCCATAGCATATATAAAGGTGCTAAACTAGTAGTGGAAGGTGATGAACCTCTTCTCTCCCTTAGTTAACATATCCATATAAGTGAACATAAAGGATAATTGGAAATAGGGAACATCTTATGCATACACTTGGGTTGGGGTGTTACAAAAAATCATCTTTATTAGTTTTATTAATAAAGATATATAATTTTTTTTTCTTTTTTCATAAAGAGTTGAGAGTTCTCATTTCTTTCAATTCCTAGAAAGGGAATGTTGTAGACATAGATAGTTGGACATAGAAACACTTGCTAACTTTACATATCATGTATCATTTATTCTTTTTTAATCATGTTATTGATGAAAGTTGAATATGAAAATAGTTGTCAAATTTTCTCATCAAGTGTTATGTATTCCTTCTTCAAGATTCTTGAAATGAATAATTAAATGTCATGCGGCTCATTGTCGCTATTTTTTGCATTGGTTTTCATTTTATTCTTAAGAGGGAGGAAATTTAGTGGCATAAAGATGAAGGTAGACTTTTCTTTGAGGAGAACAGATGACATTCATTCAACAATTGTTCACATGTCTTACTATTTTTAAAATTGAGTAGAACATTGGAAGTCCTTTTCTTTTAATGGATGAGAGAACTCATAAAAGTTGATTACAAATAGCAAGTTATGGGGTCTAGTCATGAAGAGCTTGAATGCATGGTTTATTGGAAAGTTGATTTAATAAGAATGAAATTTGGCCCTATATTGGAATAAATACTTAGCAAAACAAATTGATAAATACCAAGTCTCACATTCAAATGTTAATCTTGACATGCTGCCATAGGTTCATGCCTTTTGATTGATTCTTACTCAGTAAATAGTTTGATTGTAATATGAAGTACTAAAGTATAAAAGAAGAACTCGCATAAGTAAACATGAATGTTTTGGGCACGAAAGTTGTAAGTGTTAACGTTGCCTCATTTAATGAAACCATGCAGACAATTTGGATGTGCAATGAATAAATAACATAGGATCACATAAGTAACATAGGAATAAGAGAGACAAGTGGAGAAACTTGAACATGATAATGAGAAGAAGATTATAGACCTTGAGAACTAAGTTAGGTTGCCTCTTTATGCAAACAGAGTTTTGTCTCATCTCTTCGTTTTCATACAACTTGACTCCATTCCGTCTAAGAATCAGCTGTCTTGTGCTTCAAAGATCAGAAAATGAGGCCAACATAATGTGGCTCCAACAAGACCTAGCTCACCACAAGCCCAACATAGTTGATAGAGTCACAATGTCTATTGCTTATCAATTTAGTCGACCAATAAAAGCCTACTAGGGGGGATGGGGGAGTACCCAAATGAAGTTTTATTCGCCCTTGCAAATGAGTGAGAGGTCCAAGAGTTGAGGAACTAGATCGCAGTTGAGCAACAAGAAAAGAACAAGTTGATGAAGAAGCTTCAAAGGGCTGAAACCGAATGCAAGTGTTCCACCTTCCCCCACATCATAACTTGAAAACAGAGTATGATTAGTATGCCCACTATTGAAGTGCATAACAATTCGAAATAGAACTGAGTTATCTTGTCCACAGGTGCCCCCATTACAACTAATTGTCTTCTATGTTGAACCTAAAGTATCTAGTGTTAAGATAGATGGAGAATGATAAAACATAATGAGAATGAATTAAAACCATACTTGACTTCATGAAGGTGCAAATGTGAGGATAACCTTTTAGATCAGCACAGAAGAATCATCCAATGACTTACTTTAGAGAGGTGAGATACTCTAAGAGTGACTCACGATGTGTGACCTAAAGACCATGACCCCCTATTTATAGATAAGAGGTGGTTAGCCTCTTGATGTCTTTTTTTAATTTAGCCCATCATAAAATTAAAATAAGACATGATCTCTACACATATTTATATTTATACTTATACTTATAAGAGAGGTCCTAGTCCTAATATTTAAATTCTAATAAATCACTTTAAGTGTGATTAATTCAATGATAGTTTCATATTACATAATTCATATATATCATTACCATATTAAGACTAATTCCAACATTATGTCTTTTATACTCAGTGGCGGTCGATTGATCTAGAAGATTTCGTAATCTTAGGCACTAATACAGTGAGGATGACTAGAACGAAGTAAGTTGAGCAGCAATAGGAATTGATCTCCATCGCCCACATGGAGACACTGAAGCACAAGGTCATGAAGCTCCATAGAGAGAACAAAGCCTTGAAGAGGTGGCTCTCTACGATCTGCAGCACCTCTGATTCTTCCCCACTTCTCCCCCATGATCCACCAGGTGCCTCTGCTCTTTCCACTCTTCTCACCTAACACAGCTTCCAGCCTCTTTCACCGAATATGGGCCCACCACCTGCCCCATTCCTTTCCCCCTCGTGTCCTCTTTCTGGAGAGCAGACCAGAAACCTGCCGGAAAACAGTCCTTGGAAAACCTTGAGATTTCACCTCTCCCTAACGTCTGGTGGTCTCTCGTATCTCTCTCTCTCCCGTCCCTTTCGGGTTATGTAACGGCTTTTATAGATAATTAAATGGTTGGTATGATACCGTCCCAGATTTCATGAGAATTTCGTGGCCCATCTTTACTTGAACGATGACCAACGTAGCTGCTTTTGCTTCACTCAACCTATTCAGATCTAAAGAGAGAGAGAGAGAGAGAGAGAGAGAGAGGCACAAGCGTGTCCTTGGTGTTGCTATGAGGGCCGACGAGGGAGGGGTTGACTTAGAATCAGACGAGCTAGGCAGTTGACTCACACACCATTGACTCGTCTAGCATGATATTGAAGCGGAGCGATGCTGTTCTAGGACGGATGTGCAGATGGGGAAAGTTTTTTCGCAGTCCTGTGGAGACGGCGCACTTCAACCGGAAGAAGATACCGTTTTAGGATTAGAAGGTGTCGGCCTGTTATTTCTTTTATTATAAATCACTCGATTTATCTTATATTTAATTCGTCCCCATATGTGGTCACCGAAAAAGTGCGTTTTCCTCTGTGCCAGTCACCCGTCAGCATGATCCCAGCGCAAATGGCGAATGCGACGGGCCCCACGTGGGGTTGTCGATATCTACGCTGCTGGATATCGGAGGTGAAGCCAATCCTCAAGATATCCACGTTGGTGATATCGCCGTTATTTGTTCTTTCCCCAAGAGAGAGAGAGAGAGAGAGAGAGAGAGGAACCTCTCCCCAGGATTGTCATCGTCGGTTCTCTCAGAGGGCCAAACGAAGAAGAAGAAGCAGGAAGACGAGGGTGGGTCACCTTCTTCTCCGAGGCCGTGGCCGATGGTGCTGCTGGCCTTCGCGTGTGTCGCTCAGGAGACGGTGCTAGGGAACCAGCAGGCACCAGGTAGCTGCCCCTACTGCGGAGGGACGGTGGTGGCGACGGTCGTGGAGAGCCGCCGTGGGTTCTGCTGTCTCCCCGTCTGCGTCAAGATCATGCGGAGGTATTCCTGCGCCGCCTGCTCCAGGCGCCTTGTCCTCTACCCATGACCAGAAACCCCCTCAATCCTCCGCGAGAAACGCTGAGAGCTTCTCGCATTGTGATCCCTGTTCTTGTGGTTGGTTCCCGGGGGGGGAGGAAGTGGAGGAGGAACTCTGATATCTGGTTAGACAAAAGTTCTACGGTGAAATCGAGAATCGGATGATCGGTGCCACGCTCCCATCGCCGGGGTTGATCCTCCGGACGGTGGCTAGAACTCGATGCGTCGCTTGACCCGGAGAAAGCTCCAGATTAGCTTCCATGATGGAATCATCGGCCGATTAAATGCCAATAGAATCATCCACTGCGGGTGCGGTTCCGCGTTGTGTTACGATGACGGTCCATTCATAGTAAATCACAATTTAAACAAACAGTAGTTCTATTAGTTCACACATAACAATTGTTTTTCCCACAAATCTTGCATAATCCAATGCTTGATTGATCATATCTGTTTCAACGATTTGGTATTATTCGATACCCACACAAATATGATACTACCCTGAAATCAACTCCTCTACATAGCCTATGCTCTCATAAAGCAGGTCACAAGAAGGAGAAAAATAATATAAAGGATTAAAAATTAGTTATAAAAGATGAATCAATACAAAATTGTCAAATCTCTTCCATGAATCTCTCTCCCTCTCTCTCTCTCCCCATCGCTCACCCTTTAGAGAGTTATTCAATCGAACTGTTGGGAGAAGAGGAAATCCCTGGGGCTGTTCTATGATGCTTCAGTCCTTAACAAGCTTTTCCCATACCGATGAATACGACAGGGAAAAAATTTAATAAGGTGACCTTAGTGAGCTGGGAAGAGAGTTTTTAACCTCTCAAATCCCTCACTTGCATCTACTTTGAACGACACTCCTTTCACTATCATCCCTCCTTCCATGTCAAGCTCCTTATTATAATAAATCAATCAAACATCATCATCCTCTAACATTTTCAATCAACATCATTCATCTTTTGCTATTTTTTGGGTTGGCGAATATTTTGATGATTTTTTAAGCTCTTATAGACTTGCATTGGCAAGTGCAGTTGAAAATCATACAATCCTAAGTTTAAACATAATGTAAAAAGAATCCATTGACTTCATTGACTCCTCATAGGAGACCCTTTCTTCTCCTAAGGCTCTTCAAATTGTCCTACCTCAATTTCTTCCTCCTGATTCAAAAGAGGCAAATCACCATTTTCTATGCATTTTTAAACCGAATTAGAATGTCATGCTGAAAATGATTGTTGTTTTGTTGGGTGCAAGGTGACCAATGATGGTTGGCTAGGTCAACTAGGTCAACTAGGGATATACCTTGCCTTTATTTCTAAAATATCTATTATTTTATAATTGATTATGTTGATTTTAAAGGAGGCAATACAAATAACCAACAGTAAAGTAAATGAATTAGTCTTTTCCTAACTTATATCTAAATTTCTTTTTTTCTTCACTTTTGAAATTACAAATTTTAATGGTTCTAGCGACTTGACTTACACCTCTCTTTAAGGAATTGTGTCCATGGGTTTCACAAACTATTATTACATGAAAAGTTAAAATTGAAAGCTTTAGTTAGATTCAAGTAGATTTTATGGCTCTAACCAACCCAAGAGTTCCCAAACATCCTGAATATTCACTATATTCAAGCCCCAAAAAATTAACATCTTGTTAATCTCTTCTAATTTGGGTACCAATAGTCAGTCTTATACATACTCAATTACAAGAGATAAAAAAAAACTCATAATTTTGGCTTAAATTTTTTAGTTGTGAGGTGTAGATGCTTCTCTTTAATAGTAGTCACTTGAATGCATTTATAATGTGAAATATTATTTCAAAGAGTTGAATCTTTCCATGTAAGATTGGCGAGATAAATCCTCATAAAGGGTGAATTTATCCTTATTTTTGTATTTTTAAGGGCAAGAAAAAGATGCCTCAAATAGTAGCCCCAATGGCTGAATGTGCTCCCAATAGTGAGTTGAAGGAAGATTAGTTGCATGTCTTTTTCACATTTGATCTTGTAGTGAAAGAGACATATTTCAAAATAATGAGCAGTTGAAAAGTCCCTTTCAAATGTTATGATATTGTCGCCCCTTCCTCTTATGCAATGAATATGCTCACTACTTTAGTGGTATCACTTGGTCATTATTGTTATTCAAACTTATTCTTACTAAATGAGTATGTTCAGTTCTTATAATAAATTAAAAAATAAAAACACTAATTAATGAATATGTACAATTTTGATACCAAAAAGTAAAATTTTACCCTTTTCTATTTTTTCAACATAAAAAATAGAAAGGCACCAAAAGCCAATATACTCAATCTACAATCAAAAAATATTTTCGTTAATCGATAAATGAGCATTGCCATATTCATAAAATGCCTTGGGAACCTTGGTTAGGGGTTTAGCTTTCAACCCTATTTGACTTCTTGTGATGCTCGAGTCTTTAGCATGATCATGTGAAGGACATTATACAAATCGTGCTGTGATAGTTCAAAAATTGGCAAAGAGACTTCCATGGCATCTTTAAAACAATATAAGAGAGCGAATTTATGAAGAGTTTAGTAAGTTGATAATTAATGAGAGGGTCTAGTCAATGACATCATTATTTGGAGTTAAAACTCAAACAAAAAATCTTAGAGAAAAGTTATTAAGATTCAAATGGTACTTGGTATTACTTTTGAGCCTTGAAATTGGTTTTTAGTAAGGTATCCATTTTACATAGATATTGCATTTTTTCGTTCTTATTCCTTACAATTGGTTGGACTGATCTTGGCCGTGAATCTAAGTCAATTTTAAACTTTGGGTTCCACCCTTAATCAACATTTATTGCCATTGATTTTTTTATTGCAATTAATTACCAATGAATCAAATGGATATAAGATTATGCTTGGGGTTTCCGTAAATAGATGCTGCGTAGACTCTCTCCCCTTGTTCTTCAACGTCACTCAAGAAGAAGAAAATGGAAATCTCTATTTGAGAGAGGCATGAATAGCACCCGTTTGTTCCTCTAGAGCCATCACCTTATGTATGGTTCTCATTTTAGTATGAAGGCGCATCTGTACAATGAGGTAATGCGAGAAAAGCTTAAGATAAATTGGTAAATTAGAAGCCGAAGGTTTTTGGCTTAACTGGGCTACAAGGGCGAAGCCTTAAATCTGACCTAGTTTGTCCACCCCGAGCGTTTCACCCTCACCCTTGTCGATAGAGATCTTACCACAATTAAAGATAGTAATGTGGCTGTGGGACGACTTGATGAGGGTAGGATGAGACATATTTTAGGGTTTATGGGAAGAGTCCAAGAGCAAGTTTTAGACAAGGCTGAGACTGAAACGGTCTTAGGGTGGACAAGTAGGTCTCAGTGGAGGCAGCGGGGACTCGATGGGCTCCAACTACCAATCAGACGTTGACTAACGGACGTGATGCGTCGAGAATCCTTGTGGGCTGGATGCTACATGGCTCCGGCACCGTGTCTTCGATTGGAAACCGCTCCTCTAAGCTGAGAACTTCGAAAGCCCCTACGGTGCACAGGCGAGCCGCCGGCGGTCGAAATGGAGAAAGGGAAAGAGTCACGAAAGCCCTTTTCACCTTATTTAAATAAAGAGAGAGTTCTGCTCGGCCTTGCCATGGTCAACCTCATGAGAGAGAGAGAGAGAGCATATTTCCCTTTCCGGCGGCTGCTCCAAACTCGGAAGTTCTTCCTGGGTTTTTCCTTTAGTGTCCCACCGCAAATTCCTTTTTTGTCTTTTCTAGTCATTGGCGGGGTCCTCTCTCTATTTACAAAACACTATGTTACTAATTTTATAACTCTACCTTCAACTAAATACTTCTAGCCACCAACATCAAGAGTGTTCAAAGAAATGAGATTTTAAAATAAGAAATATGTTCGATATTAGATAATATTCTCATAACATCATCATATATTTTGCTGTAGACTAAGCCAATACTACGGCTTACATGTGGAATCATTATCTATTAGTAAAACTCAATCATTGATTTACTCATATGTAGATGAACAACTCAATGTTCGGAGTCATATGATATGAACAACTTAAATCTAAGATACAATTGTCTTTGGGTCTGATGATTTAGAAAAAAATAATGACTCTTGTCTTTGACAACACTGGTCAATGCTGAGCTTTCAATGGATGTAGGCTGTCTAAATTATTTTTTGATGCCTTCTTTTCACATTGTAATAATTATCTTTAACATGTCCATCTTTCAATAATAATTATAAAATGTATTTTAAAAAAAACTTATCTAGACTCTCCTTTATTTCTCTAATATTATTTTTCCTCTTTGAGTCAACCTCTAGCAATAAAATCCTTGGATTATTTTACTTCTAAAATACCACAAGCTTTGCCTTTGTTAATACTGATGAACGATTTATTGGTACATTTGAAAGATAACCCAAAAAATAGAAAAAAAGATGAGAGAATTGGTTTATGTGGATCCTACTGGGTTGAGACCAAAAGTGAAAATGACATTGTCATAAACATAAAATGTATATAGCGTATTTGTCATAAAAAAAAATTTCTTGAAAGTATTTATTTGACATTGGTAAAGAAAAATGCAAAAACATCATTTGATCTTCTTCTTTATTCTCTCATCAATATGTATAAATCCAATAAATTATAATTAATTCAACAAGGTGAGATTTAATTAATTTACATTCTACCATCCTCAATATGAGTAAATGTTACTACAAAAATAGTTTTTGGGTGAGTGATCTAATCATGATCTAATTTCAGCCATAATAAAATCATTAAATTGTCATAAATTATCTCTTGAAAAAACTCATTTGACAAGTTTAATTGAATCAGAGTTTTAAAAAATTATCTAATTCTTGTTTTTGCTCCCTAGACATACTGTTTAACATTCTTTCCTTTCCAAGCAATAACTTCTACAACCATTAGCGGGTAAAGAGAACCTTCATCTTGACTTGCCATATCTTGAGAATGACACCTCGAACTTAATGTGGTATGAATAAGGAAACCATCTTCACGACCACCAAAAGGAGGAGAATGGCTGTTATTAATAATAAATAAAATACAGAATTAAATAGAGTTAATAAAGGTCTAACCACAGCCAGAGAAATGGATAGAATAAGTCAAAACCCTGACTTCAGTGGCCGCTGAAAAAGGGGCTTCTGGTCTTGATTTCTCTCACTTTTTCTCTCTACCCGAGCCCCTTTTTAATTCCTTTTTTTGCAAAGGGACATGACTGGTTTTAAAATATAGATGAGACTGGGGTGAACCTTTCCAGAAAAGGGGTCGACCATGTCACCCTTACAGAAAATTAATATTATGATTGAATATTATGTATTGCATAAGCAACTTGGGCCATCACGATGAGCCAGGGTGGCGGGGGGAGTCACGCTCGACTTGTGAGAGAGGCCAAAATGGATGGTCATGAAGCGCATGTTTTATAGTGGAACGCTTAACCTTGACCCAAAATCTTTGCTTCTAATGATAAGGTGTTAAGAGCTTGTCACTAATAGATTGAGATCACAATAAAACATCCCCCTCCAATTTGGATCTAGAAGATACAAGGTCTTAATTTTAATCTAGACGAGTAAATTATGTGGTTTTACGTAACTAGTTTACGTAAAATGGATGCATATAGCTTACAAATGATTGGAGCAATGCATGCCCCCTCGATGTAAATAGATGGTTGGAACAACTTTAATGCTTGGGAGACCTAATGAATGCAACCTGAACAAAGTTCCGCTCAGCACTCAGCGCTTCCTGCAAGCATAGGTCTGTCCGAGGAGGGACCTGCGGTTAGTTCCTTTCCTTTCCGGCGGCGAGGATACCGTCGACAGAAGCGTTTTCCTTCATGCAGATGACGGCTGTTGGCGGCGAACTCCCCGGAATATAGACGGTCCACGGTTTCCACCACCTTTCGAAGAAGGAGACTGTGTGGCGAATATAAGCACGAGACGACACCATCTTCTTCGGTGACGAGCAGCAGAACTATAGTCGTCGGCATTAAGTCTGAACTCTCTCTCTCTCTCTCTCTCTCTCTCTCTCTCTCTCTCTCTCTCTCTCTCTCTCTCTCTCTCTCTCTCTCTCTCTCCCCCAGCTGTCATCCCCGTCCAGCTACTCATCGTCTCCTTCCCTTCCTGCGGCCGCCTTAACGACAAGCTGCTTCCGTCTGAAGTAGTTTGGAGATCGAGCTCGCGTGACACCTTGATGTTTTTCGCCCGCTATCCCATCCTATCAATGAGAGAGAGAGAGAGAG